CGACCCGACCCGTTTAATCAAACGGGTCAAATTTACGAACCCGAACCCGACCCGTTTATCAAACGGGTCGGGTTCAACCCGGATTTTCCGGGTCGGGTCCGGGTCGGATTTTCGGGTCGGGTCAAAAGTTGACACCCCTAGCAGGAAACAAGAAAACAGAACATTCTGCTCCGCCGTGTCTTACCATTTCAAAACACACAGACAACAGAGTAACAAACAAAAACTTGCAAATTCTCATCTTCTCAAATAAGTCAAATTGAACAAATAAGACTATGATCAGGTGCCTCTTTAAATTTGCATCGATCCAAATACAAAATTAACGGCAAAAATTTCCTCGTCTTGGTTTTAACTTTTTTTTTTTCTCTCAGGATCATCTTGATTGAATTTTTTTCATGATCAGGGTCGTCCAAGGTTGGAGAAATGGCGATCATCAACCCCTGCTGGTAAGACTGTGAAGAGCCGGAGAGAAGCGAAGGCAGCTAAAGAAGCTCTGCCGATATGGCAGCGCCGTCTTCTTCTTCATCTCATCCGCCGCCGCTTTGTTCGCCGTATAATGCCTCGCGTGCGGCGACACCGCACGCCTCGTGCTACCTCGCCGCGACACAGACCCACTGCTATCCACAGACCGGAAACTCGAGCTTCTGGACACATCTCCGCTGCCTGCTTTCTTAAGCTTTGGCGGAGAAGATGATGAGGAAGGTAGCTCTGTGAACTTTCGGAGAAAATCCTTGCTGCTGCCTCCTATGGCGCGGCCCTCCGACGCGCTGCGGAAGAGTAGAAAGTCCTTGATAAGCCACTTCCAACTTCCATCGCTTCCGCCGCCCTTGCAAGAGCATGAGACGGTTGCTATTGGAGGAGGGTGAGAGGAGACTGGAGTTTGGAAGTGATCCGTACTTCCTTTTCCAGCTCTAAGAGGAGATAAAGATCTCGATTTTTTTGGGCTTTGGGAACGGGAAATGGAGGGCGAAAAGGCAGAGTAGGGAGTACTATTTCTTCCTCTGTTTACGGTTGCGGCGAAGGGGTCATGTGGAGGGGAGCATAGACGGGGAGGGGGTCTGAGGGGTCGGATTTTGCCTTGGTCGAATAATTCGTCGGCTGATGTTAACGCCGGCGGCTGCGCGTTCTTCTCGAGATGGCCGCTGAAGTCGAAGGCAAATTCGTCTTCAACTTCGGCGGCGGTGGGGCTAGTTGGGGCGCCGGCGTAGGGGTAGTAGAATTCCATGGGATCTACGCCGAAGTGTTTTGGGCTCGACGGCGCGCTCATGTACGGCGTAGTCGTCGCGCTTTCGAAGTGGAACTCTTGAACCGGCATCACCACTTCCATGTCTTTCCCCAGTTCTCTTCTTCCCCGCTCGCTCTTGCTCTCTCTCGTCTCCCTTCAGAGGGAAGATCGGCAGAGAAAGGGAATTTATATGGAGGATGAATGAAGAGTGGTATGGCTGTGGAAGGAAGGTGCGAGGAGCAGACGGCTGAGTTGTCGAGCGGGAGAGGCGAGGGAGGGGAAAAGGACTACTAGTCTACTGCCACTACTAATTATCTATAGAGCAAAGATCGTTAATTATAGGGATTTAAATTTTAAAATATTAGCCATTTTAGAAGGCAATTTCATGAAAGCACATTAAATCATTAACATACCATTGTATGCTATCTGTCATTTGTTGCATTCAAATTTTAAATTTTATTTTAAAATTTGGTAGTGAACAGTGCGATGTCAATGTTGACATCAGACTGTTTACCTACTGCCAAAAAACCCTCGCTTTTAAATTTGTCGAAGAAGAGCGGGAAAGCGAAGAAAAATGTGCGAAAGAGGAGAGAAATGATTAGCAGGAAGCACGTGCACGAGGAGAAAAATGAAGTTCTATTGAAGATGAATTATGCTATTTTGAAATTTTTGTGTATTTTAGAGTGTAAAAAGAGTTTTTTTGGTTGAAGATGCCATTATTTCTTGAATTTTTGAGCAAAATCATACGTAAGTTCTCAAGTTTGATTATTTCTATAGTTAATCTAAATTTATGAATGTTAATCTAAAAAATTAATTCACTCTAAATGAAAGTTAATCATACGCAAGTTCTCAAGTTTGATTAATTCACTCTAAAAAATCTAATACAAACGTTAAAATTCAAAATAAAATCTCACTCAATACATTTTTTTTACTTATTGAAAATTATAACAATTTTATTATGACTCATAAATTTATGAATATATCCGTTAAAATTTTTGTCGTTGATGATAATTTTATAAATAAATTATTAATGGCATGAGCGTAATTCCTTCTAAATGTCATGACCAGATTGTCATCTTGGAAGGATCTTTTTTATTTTTATTTTTATTTTTATTTTTTTTATTTTGGTAGTTTGTAATGGTGACTGTGAGGCTGCTATGTTTCGCTTTTTGTGGTGGGCCATACCACCTCTTAATACTAATAGTAAAGTTGTAGTTGCATATTAGGTATGTGCTAAAATTTAGTCATTTTTTAAAATAATGTACTCTAGATTAATTATTACATAACAAACAAGATTCTATAAATTAAGACAATTTTTTCTTAAGAGTATATCCACCCGCTACTATTTCTGAAAGCACATTTGGCGGCATGACTAATCCTTTACCGATCTAGAAGAGGCACCTACCCCAAAAATCTCTTGGTCTATACTTGATTCGGCCCCACTCAAGAGGTACTGCCGCTCAAGTGAAATCGTGCACGAATTTTGGGGGGAGGGGGGGTTCTCAACAGTACTCACCCACCAACCAAGCTAAGTATCAGTGTGCACCAACAAAAAACTTGAACATTCAAAAGTTTAATTGGAGTTGAATGAGAGATGTTATTGGCTGACATAATAAATATTGAATTTATTTAAATATGAATTGAATGATATAATAATGATACCATAATAAAATAATATGACAAATAATTTTGTATTATAAATTATAGATCATATGCAACTAATATCTTAAATAAGTTCACTTTTAAATACCTTCAATATTTAAGTTACTAACATATTTAATTATAAAATTGTTCGAAATTTTTCATTTTCATCTTTTATGAAAAATGATATTGTAAAAATAAAAGATTAAAATACAAAAAAAAAAAAATTAAAAAAAAAAAAAAAAAAAAAAAATCATCTAAGTATTGAAAGAGTCAAAGGATGTGAGAGGATAAACATATAATAAGAGCTTAGTAAGGCATAGCTTGTGGAGTAAGTGGCTATAATTGCAAGTAGAGGCACTATTGATACATGAAAAAGGTAATGGAAGAGATGGAAACTTAGCGACTATAAAATTGTTCAAGAAGAGTGGTAGCGAAATGGTGGTTAAGGACATTGGGTGGTGAACGTGCGGTTGAAGAAGAAAGGTTGTAGGAAGTGAATCCCCATCAGAAAGTCTCACATTGCATACCTCAAGCCTCGTGCCTCATATGAAAAGGCCTAGAAAAAGATAGGATCTTGATTTTGTGGGATAGCTAGATAGGGTTAACTAGGAGTTATTAAAATTATATATGTTATAAATTTATTTTGTTAGAATAATTTCTACCGCTTAGATTACAATTTAATGGTGATTAGAATCAAACATTTTAATTAAATCGGGACTAATTTGTAAATGCATCAACTGAACTGTCGGTTATTACTGGGTCTCCCTAGTTCAATGCTAAACTAATTATACACGCTAACTAGATCACTCATGGGATCAAGTCTTAATTTCTTAATAATAAGACATATATTATATCAAAATATTTTTTAGAGTTATATACATTTAAATATTATAAAATAAGAAAAAATAATTATTGTTAAAAAATCATATTATGTTTATTTGATGCAATATTGTATACACAATATTGATCATATTTTGAAGATATTAATAGAATTAAAATAAATTATTACGTATTTTGATAAGTTCTTGAGTATAATCAATTAATAATAAATTAGAAGTTTTTTCCCTTAACTCGAGCACTTGCATAATATAATCAATTGAATAAAAATAATTTTTGTTTATTCATCTTTTTTTTTTTCAAATGTATAAATACAATCGAATATCGTGAAAAATAAATAGAAAATTTTGACTTTACTATTTATACCTCTATTTTCTTATTAAAAAAAAATTTAATTCTCATCCAAAAAATATAAATAAAGGACGATAATATCATAATACCTTTTTTTGGGAAGATTATTATAATAAGTTCATAAAATATATTTATCAAAGACATCCAATGAAAAGCAAGTTAATTCTATTTATTTATTTGTTTGAAATGGGATAATATTTGTAATTGTTATTTATATTAAATAAATAAAAATCTAATCAGTAAACTTATTAAATTACTGAGTTTGACAGGCGATGATTTTTTGTGAGGCTGCTAATAATGTGAACGTGGAAGGTATGCAGAGCCATGGATGTGTTAAATATTTACTCATCCACTTGTAGCCATTGATCAGTTGGTATTTGGTGAATCTTGTTTGGAGACTAATCAAATGTGTCATGTCGACTGTATGGGTGACATGATGCATTCTCGTTAGTCTCATGACGGCGTTCGATGTCTGCACTTAGAAGAGATTCATTTGAAATGGTTATAAATTTTTATATAAAAGATTGTAAAGGTTAAATAGCTTTTTTGAAAGTTATTGTAGAATGAAGTTTTTTATTACAAAAATTTATTAAAAATAGTTGTTAAACAAAAATTATGATTGTATTTGAAAAGCAAAATAGTAAGGAAGCTATTCCAAATGAGTCATCAGTGTGAGTTTTGGATTGATGATCAGAATGATCTTTTTTAAAAATATGGATTATTTTTTCTGCTTAATGATATAATGAACTTTTTATTTTTAACTTTTGCTATAGGACTATGACGCTTGGAATTGAAGATACTGATCAATATTTTTAAATGATAGAATAAAGTATAACTGCATTCCACACTCAAAAATTTTCCCTAAAAGATGACCAGTTTTTTTTTATATGTCGCTAGTGGTCTCCTAGATGACCAAGAAGAGTATACCTTTTATCTATTCATCCTCTCAAGGCCATGATGTTATCATCTTTAGGAGGAGGATTGTCATAATCTTCTATAGTGGCCTGCCTCTTTTACCTTTTAATTCTTGTCCATCATAAGCCCCAAGGTAATGCCTGTTCCAACTTTAAAAGAGTAATTGTTCTAATAATCTTTATTGGTCTTTTCAACCTTTTAGCACTTTTTTCAGCCACCAACTTAGGATGTGCAGCTTATGCCTCTAAAGGAGGATTACTTCAAGGTCATGCCACTTTTATTTTTAGGAGGACAATGCAAGTTACCCTTAATTATACATATGATCTTCCTATATTACTGCATCCATAGACTTCAAGAGATTATGCCTTTGCTTCCAAGAGAAAAGAAAACTAGATAACGCTCAATTGCACCAATTACCTTCATATGCCATTTTCTCCATTGATTTACAATTGTTTAGCGTCTATCTTGTAACAATCCAAAATATTAACTATTGAGATATTGTCCACTTTAGCTTAAGAGTCTGAATGTTTTGTTATGTTGGTGTATCTTCCTAATAAGTCACCCATCCCAGAATTGTTCCGGGAATAGCACGCTTAACCATAGAGTTTCTTAAATGAAATTCAATCAATTACACGAAAAGGCACATCAACGTTTAAGAGTTTAGTTTCTTTTACTTGATGGACTTCATAATCTCCGCTACTTAAGTAGTTAACATCCTCGTCAACATCATTATCCCATATTCATCCACCAAGTAGATAAGATTCTAAAGGTGGCCCCTATAAGTTCAAGTGATGGCTCCCGTCATATAGCACTTTGTCCCATACAAGGTTCAAGAGGTAACTCCTATGACATAACAGTTTGTCTTGTATGACACTTAGTTCTATCTTCCGGCTAGTCATGTGTTTCTCTGATACTATTTGTAACAATCCAAACTCTCAACTATTGAGATATTGTTCACTCTGGCCTAAGAGCCTTACAATTTTGCATTGTTGGTGTAACTTCCTAGTAGGTCAACCATCCCAAAATTACTCCGGGATAAGCACACTTAATTGCAGAGTTTCTTAAATAAAATTTCAATCATCACATCAAAATGTGTCTTAATGTTTAAGAGTTTAATTTCTTTTACTTAAAGGATTTCACATATCTTCATGAGAAAGATAATTCCGCTACTTAAAACATCCATTTTATTAAACGGGGCTGGGGTGTGTCTGCGGGGTGCAGGCCCGGAGTGGGAATTATTTAAAAAAAACATCCATTTTATTTATTTCGACGGTTCTTTTCCACCGGAAAAAAGTTCCGGCCGATTTTTTCAGCTGGAAAGAAATTTTCGGCGAGTTTTTTTCGACGAAAAAGTTTTCCGACGCTTGATTTACCGTCGAAAACATTTCAAAATCAGTCAGAAACTTTAGAATTTTCCGCTGGAAATATGCAACTTTCCTGTAGTGAATTACATCAAAAGGCGCCTCGACGTTTAAGAGTTTAACTTCTTTTACTTGATGGGATTCACAATCTTCGGCACTTAAGTAGTTAACATCCTCTC